TGGTGGATCAATTATAAATCAGTGAACATCTGTGATGTTCCTGTGAATTAGTGGTGACCTTGTTGCTGGTCAGTGCGTAAAATGAAATGCAGTACAGTGCCCCCATTGTGTGTCCACCGTGCTGTTATTCACACAAGTGTCACTTGAATCATTCACTTAACAATCATGCATAATGCATGAAGTTCTGCCTCACTATGAGTGGAGACCTCGATACGTTACTCACAAACTAGCCACCGTAAGGAATATCAACTGATGAGTAAAGCTACATGCATGGAATTATGTTTTGGCTATAATCTTTTTAACCCTAGTTGGCTGGCACGATGACAAATAATCCTTGGCTGTGGCATGAGGGCTTGACTATAAATTGGAAGGTTGCAATTTCAAATCTTGGTAGGTAATTAACTCAGAAAATCACCCCTCTCGGGTAGGTACATCGAGGATAATTTTGTTGGATGTTAATAGTTAATATCTACTTTTAACTTGGACAATGTTAAGGAAAATGGCCAGTGATGGGCGTCCCTTGTGTAATATTTTTCATTTTCTTTACACTTTTCGTGCAATACAAATGTTTGTTGGTGTTTCCACGGTCGTAAGACATCATTATTGTTCTTATCTGGCAGCAATGTTCTCAGATTTTTCACTTTGCAGTTGCTATGGCGACTTATTTCCCCTTTAAGTGGCAACATGCAGCGATGTACACTTTGGTGCACAGTCGGTGAGGTACACTCTTAAACCAGGCAAAGCAGTGCAGATGCCAACATTTTCCCCATCATTTGCAACAATTAGAGCCTCACTGAGCAATTTTAATGTTACTATCTCCACATTGAGCATGAATTATTGTCGGCATATTTGTGTTCAGTTAAGTGCCTTAACCTGTGTAAGTTACGCACAGCACTTAGGCAGAATATATAATTACATCTGCTTAATCCTCTTTTTCAAGAATGCGAATATAACCATGACTGTCTACTGAAAAATGATCGCGTACTTGCCAAGCAGAACGAAATTGCTTCCAACCTATAGAAAAAGACCAAAACATCCCACTTGGCTAAGTTGAGAAATCCATTCTCTGTCTTTAATTAGGAATAAGATCTTGGACAAAAAAATGTCCTTAATTATAACTGCTCTATTTTATGAAATGGCTTGTCTTTATGGAAGACTAATTTTTAAATGTTTTATTAATAGGATTCCATTGCTTTACTAGAACACAAAAAGTAATTACCGGGCTGTGTACAATTTACACATGATCATAATGAAGGTGGTAATGAGCCTTTCCATCTGGATTTATCTTTTGCATCTGTGCTTTGGATAATTTCACGAGTACATATTGTGCTTGGTAGTATATTGTAACTACTTATGCAATGTAATTACCTACTTATGTCGCAGTGTCTCTAAGATCCATTATATGGCAGATGTGCACTTTGCTAATTCCTTGCATACATTTTCAAAGCCTCCAAAGGGTAATGACAGAGCGTTACACCAATTATCTTTAAAAAGGTTACTGCTGTGATGATGGGACAAAAATAAAAGGCAAGTCCAATCTCTGACAAAAGAATTACATATTTTGAATATGAAGCGTGTGCATACATTATTTAAATGCATGTAGGTATTGTTGTTGTATCGTACTTGATAAGAGCACTTTTTGGAAATCTATCCTGTCTGTGTGTTCTTGTGTGCTCACGTGTATACAAGCACCTAAGTCTAGACCCAAACATCGCACCTCCTGGCATTGACATTCCCCTTAAAGACACTGGTGGAACCATCAACCGCATCAGAACATCGACAACAGACCGATGTGCACATCTTCATGAATGCAAAATTAAAGACAAGCCAAGACTGTGGCCAAGTTCCCACAGCCTTCTCCCTAGAATATAATTTTATGCTGAAAGTCTACAAAACATACTCAAATATTCTGCCAATATTGCCAGTTTTTCTCTACTGTTCATCGATAAATTATTACTACATCTCCTCGCTTGAACCGTTATGTCTTTTAACAAGAACACCATTTTATTTGTTTATACTATCCAAACACCTTCAAACTCTCAACAGTTTGGTGGCAAAATGCTTGTTAACAGTAACGCCCAGTCACAACATAAAAAGTCAGAAATGGAAATAATAATAATAATCAGCCATTGTCTACCCACTGCTGGATGGAGGCCTCCCCATGCTGTCGCTTCCCTCATGGTGCAGTGCTGCTACCATTCATCTTCTGCACTTGAATTTATCTCTACTTTGGCTGCCACTCCATCACCAGTCTCGTCCATTGGCAATTATCCCGTCCAGCGATGTATCCTGCAGGAACTCATTCACCGTTCGTAATTGTCAATAAAAGCAACACACAAAAAGTTTTCTAAACGCAATGAAATAACCACTGAAGGGTCACCACCTGAAAGCACAGCAGAATGTTTGTGCCGATGGCAGTTATTGACAATGGATTGGGATCAAAACGATTAAATAAAGAGTCTTTGTTGCCAGACATGATATGGACTAGAAACATGGAAACTGACAAAGAATATAGATGTAAACCTGAAAAGTGCATGGAGAGACGCATGCTTGGACTGACACAGAGAGCCAGATAAGGGAACACGTGGATCATGATACATTCATATATCAGAGACAATAAACTCATCAGATGATACAAATTAATGATAGGTTATATCTTATATATGAAGATGAGCGCAGGGCATATGTTTAGAGTATTTGGCTGTTATATATTTCCACATGATCAGCCACTTCATTGAGCTATCATTTGTGGCCAGGTTGCTCCTGAAAAAGAAGCTAATAGCTCAGTGGGCTTTACCTGGTAAAATAAAAGTGACTTAGAACTTTCGTGACTGCAGGAATTAATATTCAATGGTTATTTCGGTAAAGTCATGTAGATAGAACAACTCATGATAAAAAGAAAGTGATTAAAAAATATCCCGACGTTTCGATCGCAACACAAGCCGTCGTCATCAGGAACTTGACTTTACCGAAAGAACCATAGAATAAAAAAAATAGTTAACTTTATTTATATGTTTTTAGTGATTTGCTTATCTTTGCTATTCTTTGCACTACTATCGTGTTTTTGTATATTTTTTTCTGTAACGTTCTGACCCACCACTTCTGGACATCTGTGAAAAAGGGCCTTATAGCTCATCGGATTATCTAATATAAATACATATTCTGAATCTGTTTTAATGACTAAGGCTGCAAATATCATTGGATTGCAGTCTCGTTATTGCAGACTCTGGCTGTTAAATAAGCTAGATATACTAGAGGACACCTTTACAAATCAAATTTGAATGTAACAAAACATATTTTTAGATAACCACCGTAACCCGCAACTCTTGCAAACATTACAGAAGGTAAAGCATAATCATAAATGCTCTGGGAAGAGACACAACCGTAGTTGAGACAGCACAAGGGCTCCAGCTCATGAGGTTAGAACAAATAGGGAAATGGGTGAGAGTTAAATCTATAGAGACCACAGATAGGGTAAGGGAACTTAACCAAACACTGCTCAGGATCAGCAGAATTTCATAAATAACGCGATCTAACCCAAAAACGTTTATTGTGAATAATATTGGTCGCGAAAGCCTACGTGTTAAACAAAGATCAGGAAACATGAGAAATATAATCAGCCAAATACAGTGAATACCGAAGAGCCTAATCAACGTTAAACTAGGTCAAAACAGCAGTAATTATTGAAGTCTAATAAAGCGCCATGGGTGTATGGTATTGCAACTGAGAAATCGTGACGTTCATCAATGATTCGTGAAGCTCAGAACATGGGGTACCTTGGAGCATTATCACGGCTAAGTGTTAATTTCTGAAACTCGTGGAGCCCAAAGGCACACGAAATATTCTTGGGTGCATCGATCATTCGCGAGGTTCACAGATCCTAAACTAAGGTATACCTACGATTGTTAATGTTCATTATTATTTGTTTAGGCTCAATCAGTCAGACTGAGATACCGTATTTTTTTAAAACACTGTATTCAATCTATGTGTTTTACACTTTTTGAGCCTTTCATATCCCTTCCCACATGAGTAGCTGCTTCATCTTTTCCCTTACAAATGCAAGGCAATTCAGAATATTATTTTAGAAATTGCAGCTATGGGAGGGGAAATGGCTCTGTCAGTTCATAGTATGCCCAGCATATGAGCAAGTATGTTGTGCCTGCGACATTGGCATCTATCTCTTGAATGAAAATATAATAGAATTGAGCCTTTCATCTTTCACACTACTTCATGAATCTTTCTAGGCTCATTGCTTTATTTTCTAAGTGTTGCTTATTCAATTGTTAAACTATTTAAATACACCCTGACTTGTGGTCACTTAAGTGTTTTTATGGGTTTGCTGAAACATTAGTGTCATGAATCTTAGTAAATGATCATCTTATGAGTGTTGCAGTCACGAAAGCTTCAAATCAAGATTGTTTTTTTCCCTATTGATATAATCTCCATTTCCATGTAATTAGCATCTCTATTATAGCTGTTGGTTATTGTGGTAACATGACATTTCCATCATAATTTATATAATGAATTACAGCTTTTAGTGATGAGCATAACAGTCATACTATCCAAATAAACACGAATACTATATTACAGTACAACTGCTCTTATGTGGCACCCTAATATTATCTACGGGGTCGAGGGGATCTTTCATTCTCCTATACTTTTGTAAATCCCAAAATAATTAAATATTAATTGGATTAGATAATAGCAAAAATTATTCAATCATGGTTATTACATGTACTGAATTGTCTTAGCTGCCTCTACTATCTGTATTTATGACAATACTATACTACAATTCAGGATCCAGATTTATCACAGGAGGAAGAAACCCGGATTTTAACCCAGGATCCCTGTGGTGCAGATGCACTGCTCTGCCACAGCATTAGTCTGCTGAGCTACCCTGCCACCTCCGTTGTGAATGCACCTTTGTGCGAGGTTCCTGCCACAGCAAGCAACCCTGATACTTCTTCACACAACACTAATTTTAATGTTGTTTCTTTCAGACACACAGAACTACCCAGCGGGGTGCTTCACGTGGGTGACGTGCGGCCGAGCGACGCTGGCCTCTACCGCTGCGTGGCCTCCAACACAGCACGGCGACGCACCAGCCCTGAGGCCATCCTCACTGTGCAGCAGGGTATGCCGAGCTGACGATTGACACCCAGTGCTCTTTAATGCGGGAGCCAGTGGCATATTAATGGCGATCATCAACATCGTGATCAGCCTCTTTGCAACATCTCCAATGGCCTCGTGGTCTTGTGATAGCACAATGCATCTCACTCCGGCACAATCCATCTCACTCAGAAGTGGTCATCCTCTTGGGTGTGTTCCCTTCTTTAGCCACCATTTCATTGCCAATCTCAGCCAATACAATAAATGGCGTGCATCTGAAATGTAATTAAATCTTACAGAAATATTAAATACAAAGCAACTGCGTTTGAAGTTGTCAAAAGAGGCGATGAAAAATCATACTTTGCCTCCAAAAACTTCAAGGGTAATAATGTGAGGATCATTTACACTTATAAAGTTGGACAAATTGCTCTTTCAGACTGTCAGTTTGTAAAATAATGTATCATAACAATGTTGTGTCAATACCATATTGTGTGAGAAAGTTGTTCAATTATCATGGCTCTGTCATTGCCACATTATTTTGATAACTCCTAGCCAGTTAAAATGTAACTTTTGTTTCAATAAAAAATACATTTCATTTAAACTTGATATGTAAAACACAGTGTATCGAAGGATTAACTACTTAGCTTTTAAACATTGGCTCAATAATTTCCATACCAATATTTCTGACCAAAAATTATAATGCATTATTTACCAAACTCACGCAGAAATTTGCATGTTAACAATTAACACCGAAATCGATGTTGAATCAATTATAGTCACGTAACATCAAAAATCACAATAGTCTCTTGGCAGCTAAATACATTGCGAGGGATTCCATAGTAAACCTGCAAATGTGATGTGATAAATGGGAGTGACGTTTGTCGTGGTGTGAACTTCAGAGAGAAAGGTGCCATCAGCGTTTATGTCGCTTAACATATTTTACCTACGTGACTTTACCGAATACAACCAAAGGGTATGAATCCTTGCAGTCACGAAAGCTTCAAATCTAGAATACCCTGACACGCTAGTAATAGCTGTTGCTTCAGAGTGTGAAGATGCAATCTCTCTGATAATATAATTTTATGATTCAAGTCTACAAAAGGTACCCAAATAGTCTGCCAATATTCCAAGTTCTTCTCTACTGTCCATCGATAAATTATTATTACGTATTTAATTTTTTTTGGGGGGATTTACCACCTTCCAAGAGTTAATGTCGAGTCAAAGTCAGTGTATCTCCCTGCTCAGACAAGCATGAGACAATGCTCATCACTGCTGGTCAACATTCCACCATGTTCATGGCCTCAGTTGACTTTACACCCAAGTGGCGCTCACTTTGTGACTCTGGTGGTTTAATGGGCTGAGTCTACCCCTGACTGGGGTTTGAACTTGCAACCTTCCAGTAGCAGGCTGAGCACTCTGACCAGAGCACCGCCAGGGAAAGTATAAGTATTACAATATCTGGATTTATGAGGATAATCGACGTCCTAACTTGCTGGCAGATCCACTCACTGTATAATTATCACAATTGGTGTGAAGATTTTCAGTGGCTTGTGTGCAGTGAGATTAATTGCAGGTTCTGCCTCTGCTTACAAAAAAAAACTTGCTCCACTGGCACAATTATTACTCAAAAAGGTTGTATATTCAACTCGGATTCCTTAACATGTGGGCTGTGTAATTCAGCAAAATGTACAACATGGGCAGGCTTTATAGTAGAACTGGGTTATCCGATTATTTATGCCATTCGTTACTCTTCTGATGATGGATTCGATTACTTGACTATGCAGACAACATGAAAATATTCTTTGGGTCTTTCGGTAAAGGCACGTAGACAGGTTCAAAGAAAATAAAAAAATAAAACTACGACGTTTTGATCGCAACACAAGCGGTCGTCTTCAGGAAACAAAAAACCTATCGACGTGACCTTACCAAAAAACCCAAAAATATGAATTCCTGCAGTCACGAAAGCTTTAAGTCAAGATTTAACATGAAAATAGATGGGAAAATAGTCTCACCTCTGTTCCCACGTGTACTGTTGGAAGGAGAGTGATGGTTGGGGCATGATTACATCATAAGCATCCATACTCTTTGGTTCTATTCGGTAAAGTCACGTAGGTAAAAAATAAAACAACAAAAATCACGACGTTTCGGCCACAACACAAGTGGCCTTCATCATGATCATGAAAGGTTGTAATCATGATCATGATGAAGGCAACTTGTGTTGTGGCCGAAACGTCGTGATTTTTGTTGTTTTATTTTTTACCTACGTGACTTTACCGAATAGAACCAAAGAGTATGGATCCTTGCAGTCACGAAAGCTTCAAATCTAGAATCATAAGCATCATCAGCCTCATCACGCTGGGCAAGGCATAGGGGATTTCCCACCTTTGATAGGCACAATGTGGGGCACAGAAATTTTAAAAAAATGGGTCCGAGTAATCGACCACAAAAAATGTGTCAATAACAATTTTTATTGGACTAATTGTCCCAGCCCTAATACATGGTGTGCAACTCGCAAAAGTTAGTATTTGTACCGACTGACAATCAGATGCCTAGAACTTGTGAGTTGCCTTTCAAAATACTGTAATACATTACCTGTGATTTATCACATATCTGATGAGGGTTGGGTAGTGGCAAAGTGATGAGTTCACTTCGATATGAACTAAGGAACCTGATTTATAATCCCAGCCATGGTTAGCGTCAGTGGCGTGCGGTATCTGGACCAATCCTGTGCCCTCCCTTCACCCAATCTCTGCCCCCTTTTTTAGTTTGTTGTCCTTCGCCTGCACCTCCAATTAGCACGGTTCGCTACGTAGGGTGCGAAAGAAGTTCAACATACATACATACAATCTGCACTGACCAGCGTTGCAAGCCACAGTCCAACAAACCCCCTTGACGAACACAGCGTAGACATATTTTTATTGGGCACAATTGGAAAACATAGCAACGTTTGTTTGCCTAAGACCGTGATTGATGGTGGGCCAGTTTCAAGATGATACAATTCAAAGGCAAAGTAAAGCAGGTTGAAGTGCCATTGAAAAACTGAACTGGATAATGAAAAGCAACATACCAGTGTGCCTAAAGAAGAGCATGATATATATATTTTACAGGGTAATCGATAGAGAAATGTAATGAGGAAGACTGAAAAGTGGGCTTCAAAATAAATATGAGCAAATAATCATTCACGTACAACAAATAAACTGAAGAATCGGATATATCTGTCGGAGAGATACGACTGGATAACACATCAGAGTATTCATAGCTATGCGAGTTATTGAAGACGGATTGGGATCAAGATCGTGAAATAGCTCGGTATGTGAGTGTAGTTCGGTGTGCTTTAAAAAATAAAACTGAACTTAATAATGACAAGCAAGATACCTATGTCCCGAGAAAAGAAAGGTTGTAATCATTGCACATCGAATAACAAACGGGTGACATACATGGACAATGGCAAAGAAAATAGCTCAATAGATAAAAAGCCGAAAAGTGGATAGGTACATAAATGTAATTATACTGAGAGAGAGAGAGAGGGGTACATGTGGATCAGAGAACAATTTAAATTAAAGACAGTATTTTGAATGTTCAGAAAAGTAAGTGAGCTTGGGCAGGACACATTGCTGGGAAGGATCATGACTGATGATCAAGGCTGGTGATGGAGTGGCATCCAAATGAGGGAACATACTTGAGAGGATGACCAATACGGAGATGGAGCAATGAGATCAGCTAATGGGCAGGAGCTGGACGAATTGTTGAACCACGAGGTCATGGGGGATGGCGATGACTTAGGAAGGTTATATCCACACAGTGGGCAAGGAAACTTAGCATTCACAAGGTTTATTATGAATTCCCATAGCCTCGTAGAGCAAGTCCTGGACAGCATTAGGCTCTATAAGAATCAGAGTAAGTTTTCGAATCGCATAGTGTCAGAATAAAGCACTCTTAGAATTTTTAGAAACTCGAGTGGTCATTCTAAAGCCTCATAGATCCTAAAACACACGGAACATTTGGAGGTTTGAATGTGAATGCTCAAGTCTCAGAAATCGGCCGATAATGCTTATAAATGTGAAGTCCATGCTTTTATTTGGATGTGTATTATTTCCCCAAAGGCAATACCTGAACTGCTCGTTATAGATTGGCTAGCCAACTTTTATTTTTATTAGACATTACGCATTGGCTTATTCATAGCAATGATTAAAGTTAGCACTGCCGCATGTTGGTGAATTTAGAACACAACTTTTTTTTAAAAAAAAGTTTTGCACTAGTGGAATGGACATAAACAGTTTATACACCCCCAAACAATTTATATACCAATTAGACGTGGCCATTTTTTCTAAATATGTTTCGGTTCCGTCGAAACATTTCATCGCAAAAATATTGCAATGTTACCATTCAACTTCTGATTTTCATTCTGGCCTCTTTCATTTTGTTCTGTAAAGAACACCAGTCCTTTTCCCTTTTGTGTTCTGTTCCTCACGCCAGGGCTACACTTGCATGGCAGTCAAACGGGCGGCTGCATGTTCAAACAAGCACGCTGCAAATTTTGACTTAAAACTTTCGTGACTGCAGGAATTCATATTCTTGGTTCTTTCGGTAAAGTCACGTAGATAAAACAAAAAAATCGAATTAAATTTAAATAAAAATAAAAGCAAAAAACCCACCTTCATGTTTCATGCACGAAAGGTCCCCCCCCGCCCCCCATCTCTATTTAGGGGTTGGGTAAACGTGAATGCTTTTTCTCGTCCGTCCTCTTTCCCCCCAGTGACACTGAGGCCGCAGCCAGCGGACGTGATTATCGTGGCGCCGCCGGAGAACAGCACGGTGGTCGTCGGCCAGACGGCCGTGCTGGAATGCTTCGCGCTGGGCCAGCCGCCTCCCATAATATCGTGGTACCGCCTCGGTATGTTTACCACCCACCTCCCCCTCCCCTCCCACCTGTTCAAACTGTGCACCGCTGGAATGATCAGGTTGTGTGCATCAAACCTGCGTTGAAGATCGTTTTGATACAGCAAACCTGCCTGGCCTTAACAAGCATTGATCCTTCTCTGAGCAGAATGACCTTTAATGTATTTAAGGTAATCTTTTTATACGAAAGCAATCTGTCCTTTATAAAACTACCTGGTTTACTGGCGATAGCTATCGAGCATATCATTTAATTGCACGCGCATTAAATTTGTATACACGTAGTTTTTTTTTCGTTCCCCCCCCCCTCGATACAATAAAGGGGGTGTTCTAAAGATTTAGAGTGAGATACCCGGGTATGTGTTGGATTGCCCCAATTCCATAGAAATCATTCCCCGTTTCTGTTTTCTATTTATTATTTTATAATTACCAGTAAGGTAGAGGTGCAGCTCTACAATTGCTTGTTCGCGTCACTGCGTGCGGAAGGCCCGTCACTAAATCGAGCTCTAACGGGTGTTTGGGCTACTCTTCCACGCTGGTCATATATATGTTGGAAGCGGTGGGATAGCCCACACTTGACCCCACCGCACTTGACCTGCAGGTTGACTAACTGTGGTGTGGCCATTTGCGCTGCTGGGTGGACAGTGGCAGTGGAGGTGGGGGGAGTGGAATTTAAGAATGTTTTACCATGTTTTTAAATGCTATGCCGGCAGATGGAATCTAAGCCACTGACCTCTGGATTGCAAGTCCAGTGTGCTAACCATTACATCGCAGCAAGTAGTTCCCTGTATTCATGCGGAGCCTCCAAACAGTAATACTTTAAGAACCCCCAGTGGGTTTTCTGACCAGCTCTTTCTTAAATGGCTTGTTTAGCATATGTAGGGATGGCATCCACAAACACATTTAATGTACAAGCATCTCCTGGAAACCTCGCCACCCAGCAGGTTATAGGAGCTTCAGAGCACCTAGATGTGTGATCCATCAGTTGTGCCTCTAAACGACACAAAACACGGGCGGTTTTTTTTTAACCAAGTCTGAAAATGATGATGACACATTTGCAATGTACGAGAACATAAAGTAGCAGGTAATGGTGTGTACATGCATTTAGACGGTTTATTTGATTTGATTGCAAACACGCTTTTAATTCAGAGCGAAGTGTGTACATTGGTAAACGTGTAGACACCGGCCACTGGGACACAACGTCGGCGTTGGCGTACGTCCCTCAGTCTGTTGAGAGAGGAAGTCCTCCTCCAGGGGAAACCAAAACGGTGCCCTGAACCGATATATATATCTACGAAAAGGCAATACCTGATTTCAAAGCCAGGCAGATCAAACTGGGTAGCTCTGGGAAGGCGATGGGTCGAGCAGAAGAGAACCCTGCTTTTAATTCAGTTCCCCCAACTATTGGAGAAAAGACGCTAATGTCACAATAACCACTGAAAGATGAAAAAATGGGTGCCCTCAGCATGCTGCAACGAATAGCCTAATCATGCCAGCAGACCTTGGCACAGTCTGTGCGAAGAGCATGCTACTCCTAACATGTGTATAGGAACAACATATGAACCTTGGTTCTGTCAACACCTTTTGTGGGCTACCAAAATGGACTATGTTGTTGCATTGTCTCTTGCAACTATTAATGGGTTTGATGCCTTCATTCCATTTGCTAATGTTGAGGGCTTAGTCAAACCGTAATGCCACTGGTAGTGAAAGCAGCATGCGCGCTCACGTGCAAATGATGCTGAGAGGGATGCGCGCCCTCGCTCGAACACTGCGCGGAGTAAATTGCATCCTCAGTGGCGCCGCGGTCGTGAGCAAAACGATCAGAACGGAGGTGAGACGCAAGCAGTGCTCCGCAATCACATTCCTGTCGAATGAGGTGAAGTGACCGAGGCAAAGCAAACGCGCGAGCGGCTGGTCAGCGTGTACAGCGCTGGCAGCGCGAACGGCGAGGGATATCTAAGTGGTGGGTGCATCGTGGAGATCCGGCGAGGCAAACATCGGTGACGAGCCATTGCTCGGCGGCTTGTGGTGGACGAACTGCGTTCTCCAAATCGGGTGCGCGCACGTTGCGTTGCCGGCTGCCTTGGGGCCACCGGCGTACATATGTATGTGTGTGCACCGTATCTATGTGTGTGTGCACCGCGGCCACATGCCTCGGGGTTTTGCAGGCACCACCTGGAACGCTCTGAACCCGGGACGTTCCCGGCGAATGTCATCAGACGGAGTCAGCCTTAAGCACGCCTCGTAAATCCAAAGTGTCACTGTAGGGAAAACATGCTATTGTTGTCGTGGCGGTGAGGTGCGGGGTCCAGCGTCATCAGACATCAACGCCACTAACAAAGCCGTGGCCGTGCCCATCTGCGGGGAAGGTCGTGTCTTTGCCCGTGGTTAGCGACGTCGATGGCATCGTCGCTGGTGGCGACTCTCTCCTCAAGGGTAAAGCGATCAACGCGGCACGGTGCATTGGGGGGGGGGGGGGGGGGGGGGGCCCGTCCATAAATGACGTCACGGACCTAGGGGCGAGGAGGGGGGGTCAGACATTTGTGACGATGTGTGACGAGGGGGGGGGGGAGGGGTTTGAGAAATGTGATGTCACATCAAAATGCGCAACTTTTAATAAATATAGACAACACGTTCTATCTTCTTTGGTTCTTTCGGTAAAGTCACGTAGAATGAGAATAAAATAATAAATTGATAAAATAAAATAACACAATAATATTCTCACGACGTTTCGGCCACAACACAAGCGGCCTTCATCAGGTGAAGGGACGAGACTGTCTGGTAGGACAGCGCTGGAGTGAAAGAGCCACTTTCAGATCACGGCCTTTAAGCTGTGTGAGAGGAACAAAGAGCCTTGACAAAGGAATTAGCATATAATTTAGCATTGAAATGGCTGAATGATTAGCTTGTGACTGGTCACAGAAATAGTTATGTTAAAAGTTAAAGCATACACATCCGCAGAGGCACCCCTTGACAATGGAATTAGCATAGAATTTACCATTGAAATAGCTAAGTTAAAGCATACACATCCGCAGAGGCACCCCTTGACAATGGAATTAGCATAGAATTTAGCATTGAAATAGTTGAGTGATTTGCTTGTAACTGCTCACAGAAATAGCTACGTTAAAGTCAGACCATACCCATTCACCGAGGCACTTAGTACAAATCAAACAGGAGAATTTAGCATTTAAATAACTAGGCGAATTTAGCATTGAAATAACTGAGTGATTAGCTAGTGACTGGTCACAGAAATGACTATGTTGAAGTCAAGGCCTACACATCTGAGCTATTCACAGTACTATATAGTGAACCAATAAAAACTAAAATATAAATTACCTTCATGTTATCAATAAACTCTATATTCTCCAATCAGCTAAGCTACCAACAATAAGTCGTTATATATCACAATGCTATATGGCGAAAAAATGGGTGGATTCTTACCCTCAACTTTAGCACCACGGATAGCTACGGGCCCCGTTCAGACGGACGAGTTCGTCCATGGTCGGAACAGAGGAGGGGGAGAGATACAGCTGCGAGGCCCTAGTATACTCCATGTTGTAAAACCATACCATTAACCGTGGTGTGAGAGGTATTAAGAGGCAATGCTGGCGAAAGAGCTGCGGTCTGAAGGTCATCGTAAAAATACAATTAATTAAGAACAGAAATGATTTAAAACATCTTTCCAGTGGTTACTAAGCCAGAATCCATCTTCTCGGTTGAAATTGTCTCTGTGCTTGTATATGTGAATGGCCTCATGAACGAATCTCTCATGGTAGCCGGTTGGTTTGCAAAGAACCTCCGTCTTGGAGAAGTCAATGTCATGTGAGCCCACTGAATTATAACAGTGATCTGCCACGGCAGAGGAGTTCGTCCTACCGTGTTTCAAGTCTGCTTCATGTTCGCGGATGCGGTCCGAGATATTAAATAGACTTTTTAATAAATGTTTTCTCCTACAACATCAGAATACAGCGCCACATTAAATACGCACTATAACGACAATATTTTAAAGCGATTTGAAGCATGCTTTATATTTTTTTTGGGGGGGGGAGGAGAGCTTTGTGACGTCATATTTGAGGGGGGGGGGGTGTCTGACTTTTTGTGACGCCGTGTGACGAATGGGGGGAGGGGGGGTGTCAAAAAATCGTCCAAAATCGCGTGACGTCATTTATGGACGGCCCCTTGGCACCCTGCAGAGGTTTGCACGTGCGTTCGAACGGGACGCGTTCAGCGACGAACATCAGAGATGCTCTGCTGCAACACAATCACGAGAGACCGCTTGTGTCCCATTGAATGACAGCGGCTGGCCACAAGGAATGCTGCATTGACAACAATACCGCATCTGACCTCGTCCCGTTGCAATTTGTTTTCACTCGCTCCCTCTCTCTCTCTCTCTTCATCGAACACATTCCCCACTGCAATGGAAGGAGCACTCTCCGCCGTTGGCTGCTGCAGGACAGCCACAGGTTTTTTTCACTGAGCCAGTTTTTTTTTTGCCGTCCTCATTTATATTTTTGTGGGTGACTGTTTTAAATCATGTTTCACGCGGATACACACGGAGTGGTGGCGCGCGCCGTCTGTAATACAGCGCTGTGGGAGCCAGGGTTGGTGAATTAATCGCGCAAATGAAAAAAAACTGTTGTGAGACTTCCCTTCCCGTGGCCATCCAGATTGCAATACCCTGGCTTGCCAGCAGAATGCAGTACAGCAAAGTGTGCGGTGATATAATCTGTCCTTTCTGTCGGGGGTAGAGTGTTGTGCCCTCGCATGCATGGGGGTTTTTTTTCCAGGCGCTTCGGTTTCCTCCCACATGTATAAACGTTCACTAATTGTCTGAGAACATCTGAATATATAGAGAACCGCAGAGCAATTGTTAACGCCGGCTCACCGCCTGGCAGCACGCCAGTTTGTCCGTGGTTCATTAGCGATTGTGAGATGCAATTTGCATGAACAACGCTATATAAAACCTTTTTTTTTGTACCGGGGAATGCTTTTACTGTC